CTCCTCCCTCGCCGAGCTGCGCCTCCCCAGCAGCCTCTCCCCAGATGCCAAACACAAGTCCAACCACCACTCCCCGCTCTTCCGAGCAGCGCTCGATCAGCGCTCGAGGGGGCACGTGTGTGAACTGTGTTCAGCTGTACTCCGCCGTACCCGGGCCCCTTGTTGTGCTATGTACTCCCGCTGCCTCAGCTCGCCCGTGTGCTCCCTCCTCTAGGCAGCCTGGTCCGCATTGACGAGGAGACGCTGCCCCCAGCAGTCGCGCGCCTCCTCTTGGCTGTGAGCAGCGCCTCTTCACACCGATGGCTGTGAACAGGACGCCTTCCTGCGCTGCACCTCCCTCTCCTCCGTCGCCCTCCCGGACGGGCTCGAGTGCATCGGAAGGAGCTCTCTCCAGTCTCCGACCGCCCCTCAAACGCATCTCCTTCTCACGCTTCGCGCGCTTGCGAGCTCAGGCACGCCTTCTTCGACTGCTCCTCCCTCCGCCGGCTCACCTTCCCCGCGCACAACTCCCGCCTCGCACAGCTCCAGAACTTGGGCTACCAGGCCTTCGGCGGCTGCTCCTCCCTCGCCACAGCCACCCTCCCTCTCGACGCAGACGCTAATGTGCGCGCGCCCTCGCCTTTGCCCTCGCCTTTGCCCTCGCCGCCTCGCCTCGCCCAGCCGCGCCCTCTACACCCCTGCTGCCTGGAGCGGACAGCCGTCGACCGCCCGCGCCCCTACTCCCTAGGACCTCGACGGCACGGCGGAGATGGTGAAGCTGGTCGCCTTCTGCCCAACCACCACCGTCCTCCGTCTTTCGCCAGCTCGAATGCGCGCCCAGGAGCGGCTCCGGCTCCTCTACCAAGGCGTGCTCGCGTACAAGCGCTGCCGCCCCCTGCTCCTCGGCTGGCTAGAGCGGGCGCAGATCCGGCTCGACTCTTACGGCTTGGACGGTGCCGCGCGCCAGCGAGACCGCGAGGAGTTCGAGAGCGAGTTTGCGAACCTCACGGCGACCTGAGTCTTCTTACTTGAAAAACCGCCGGCGACACGCGCAGCGAACGCCGACCGCAGCGCTTCCAGCGCTAATACTCTGCGAGAAAGGAGAGGGCACAAACGACACAGATTTCGTCCGTCAAGGGGAACAGGGGACACGAAACGGATCGAAAACACAACACTGTGCTCGGTCCTCGGATACAAAATGCGCCTGTGCGCGCAGGCCCAGGCGCTGCGGGCGAACTAATAGGGAATGGGAACGTTCGAACGAGATAGAAACGGACTTGGAGTGCACGGACGTCCTATTCGAAACGCGCAGGGGCACCGCCTCTTCACGCTACGCTCACACGTCAAGGCATGAACAGAACGCGGGGAAGTTCGAGTCGTCTCGTGCGTCCACGAAGCCTAGCGGGCGGCCCCGCGCGCGCCCAAGCCAGCAGGCGGAAGAATCATGACGCCGCTGGCATGCATGTACCCCGTGGAGACGCACTGGTTCAACACGAGCGTTGACCACTTCAACTTCCGGCATGCCCACGGCGCAGGTGATTGGCGTGGCTCGCCTCCAAAAAAATAGAGACGCACAGCACTGCACACCCTGGGCTCACACATCGCATCCGGCTCAAACCTATTCCTCACCAACGGGCAGCTTGACCCGTGGCGGGCCGCCGGGATACAGGAGTTGCCTGAGGGGTCGCCAGAGTCGGTGACGGTGCGCACGATAGAATCGGCAGCGCATCACCTCGATCTGCGCCACTCGGACCGGCACGACCCCCCCAGCGTCGCCGCCGTGCGCCGCGAGGAGCGAACTGCTATCCTGCGGTGGGTGAGGGAGTGGCGGCTCCAACACCAAGCCGAGAGGCGAGATGCCACGTGATGCCAGACGTATAAGGCCTGACGTTGTCATGGACGTTGTGCTTGGAAATCGACACTTGCACCTCGCACGCCGATACCCCCAAAAACACGAGATACGAGAATGTGTGTGTGTAGAAGATCTCTGCTGAGTCTCTGGGGTATCTCGTGTCCACTCCGCACACGGAATCGATCGTGGGACGTGTGACCGGCAGGCGCGCGCTATGACTGAACACGACAAGTAGCATTTGCGGCGCGCGGCGTCACTTGCGGCGTCACGAAAGCGGGGCCCGCGCCCGCCTCGGCGAGGACGTCACGGAGAAGCCACTCAACCCGCGCAGCGACGCCGCCCGTGTGGAGTGCCTCTGCGCCCGGCCGGATCACGAGGGTCGCTGCCAGTTCGCCTGCCCTCGCACGCAGTTGCGCCGACGGCACGCCGTGCGCCGCCAGGGCCGCCGCGTCGACCTCGCCATCGTCACCAGCGGCAGCGCGAGAGGCGCCGCTTTTCGCCAGTAACGCGGCTGCTGCGGCGCTGAGGACCCCTTTCAGGGTCGTTGCTAGCGACGGCTGGCGCCCGATGGCCCACTCGAGCTCGCGCCAGGCGAGGGCGGCGTGGGAGGCCTCATCATTTGCGACAACGGCGAGGGCGGCGCACGCCGCCGGTGCGATGCACGCGGCGAGGGTGAGTTGTGCCTCGATGGCAGCCACTGTCTCAGCGACGCAACCCTCGCGGGCGGTCGAAACGGCAACGTCCGGGAGCGAGCGGACCTCGCCGCTGTCGCGGGTGTCGAGTGCGCTTGGCCCGACTGCAACCCCGAGGTAGGACGTGGCCAGCGCGTATGCTGCCTCTGCGTGGCCAACCTCCTCGAGGGCGGCGGTGTGCATGCCGCTGATGAGGTGGGCCGGCGCACCGTTGGCCAGTAGCTCGAGGGAGTGCTTCGAGAAGGAAGCGACCGAGGCCCACTCGGCGCCGCCCGCCACAGCCCAATGGTGGCCGGCGGCGCTGAGCACGCTGTTTGGGATGCGGCCATTGAGGGGAGGGGCCACACCTTTCCCCCGGTCGCTGGCCACGGCCTTTGGGAGGCGCGGCAAGCCGTCCACCACGTATGGGCGTCCGGCAATCGCGCCGCAGGGCAGGCACGAATACGAGTAGCTCTCCTCGCAGCCAGCGCTAGACACGTCGCACGGCCATGCTGCACAGTACTCATACGGGGATGTGCAGATGGAGCCGCCGCACTCTTCGTCGCGGCTGCTGCACTCGCTGTAGCTGTAGAGCCCGAACCCGGTTGGCTCAGTGGGCTCGGTTGGCTCGATTGCGTCAGAAAAGCTCTTCTTCCCTGCCCAGACCTCGGCGAGAAAAACCGCGTCCGCGAGACGAAATGCGCCGTCGCCATCAAAGTCGCCGGGGGGGTCCCCGCACACGCCTGGCGGCAACTCCTTCTTCCCCGCCCAAGCCTCCGCGACGAATACGGCGTGCTCTGCTGTGCGCCCTGTTTGTGTGGCTGTGAGGCGCAGCCTTGGCTGGGAGGGCTGCGCGGTGGGCTGCGGCGTGCTGCAGGTGGTCGTGCGCCTGCCTGATGGTGTGCGGCGGCCGCGCAACCCGCTCGACCGGGCCGTCGGCGGCCCAGGGGGCGAGCATGCCAATGCGCGCTGCATGTGAGGCTGCTGCGCGGCTGGCGCGCAAGTTTCCGTGCGGAGAGGGACGCGCGCATGTGTTCACGCTGCGGGCGCGGGCGGGCGCGGAGGGCGGCGCGGTCTCACCGCGGTCCGTCGCCGGTTGGTCTTCGGCGTGTCGAGGGCGGGCGTGCACGAGGGCTTGCCGCCATATCGCGTGCCGCGAAGGAAAAAGTTCGCTCGCTTCTCGCGGCGCTTTGCGGGTCAGAGGCCAGCCTCGCCCAATCATGCTGCTCGCTCTCGCCTCGCTCGCTCCATTTCTCGTCGTCCGTCCCCATCAACTCTCACGAGCTCCCACCTCTCGCATCGTCGGCCCGCCCGTCCTATCCAGCACCGGAGTTGCGCCAGCGCCGGCGCCGCCACCGCCGCCACTCTCACCGTTTCCGAGCGAGGAGCTGCTGCCGCGGCTGGTCGACGGGTGCGCGGCGGGCGAGCCACTGGCGTCGCTGCTCCCGCGCTGCTTCGACCACCCGCTCGATGGCTTCCAGACCGATGCTATGGCC